GGGGGTGTCAGCTGGGGTTACACGTATCCCTGGGGGTACTTGGACCAGTTCTAAGGGGTACGTGTAGGTGGGTGGGGATGGAGTGCCACCGACTCCCAGGAGCAGGGCCAGGGTGGGGCAAGGGCAGTGGCGCTCCTCTGTGGGGTGGGGAAGCTTGCATGTGGTGGCTGCTGCTGCCACACACCAGCCCAGTTAGCTTCCCCACCCTGTCCAGGCCCTGCTCCTGAGAGGCACTGGCACTCCATCCCCACCTGCCCAGGCACCGTATACCCCCCACTCTGCTCAGCATCCATCCACACTCCCCCGCCTCAGCATGTAGTTGAACCCCTCCCCCTGCATCTGACCATGTGCCATCCCCACCCTGCTCGGCATCCGGCCATGTGCTCCCTGCCTCTCAATGTCCGGCTGCATGTCACCCCCCACCCTGCTTCTGGCCATGCACCATCCCCCACCCCTCTGCTCAGCATCCGGCTGCAGGGGGTACTTAGACTAAAAAAGGTTAAAAACCCCTGATTTAGGGTAATACAGCCATGTGGACTGTTCTAATTCCTGGCAGTTCAGGTACAATATCACTGCCTAGAACAGTTATTCTCAATCAGGGTCCCATGAGGTATGAAGAGCTAAGCAGGTGTGAGGAGACAAGTGCAGGCTCATGTTCATCCCTACCTGGCCATTACCCTGCCCCCACTGCCCAGCTTCACTGCAACTACGTAAGCAGTGAAATACATAATTTATTGTCTGAAATGGGATACTGCTCAATTCACAAAAGTTATGGGTCAAACAAGGGTGCCATGGGTCAAACTAGGGGGTACCCCAAGTCTAAAAAAGTTAAGAACCTTTGGTCTAAAATAGTCCCATTCCCAAGGAAGAGCCACCAAATCTACCCCTCTTGACACATAAAATAAATTATCAAAAATCTGTTTAAAAAAGAAGATGGTACGTGATGTACACTGTAATAACTATAATTCTGTTCTCTAATAATCTATACTAGAGTTAGAAAATGAAGACGGCCTACTGGAGAATTTAATACATTCAGCATGCTAATAAAAATGCTGCTCCTAAAGCAAAAAGTGGATATCTTAACCTGGCTAAAAAGGTACTATCAGATTTTCTCTGGGATTCAATGGATGTTGGGCACCTAACTCCACTAGGAAGCTGTGAAAATTCCACCCTAAATATCTAGTGGTTTATAACATCTACTGTTACCCTTTTCAGTTATAAGATTATGACACTACAATATCTGTGGATATTTTGCTAATTAGTTTCTTCTAAACAACAACAGCCAATTTCCAATTGCTGATGAATAATTAGGGCTGATTATAATTAATATTCCCCACATAGAATCAGTGCCAGAGGTTATTAAAGCATTCAAGAATAAAAGCAACTTATTATTTTGTCCAGTTAATAGGATTTACTTACAAAACTGGTGACCATTCCCAGCCTGGAACGCCGAAGTGTTTTCACAACTTGGAAGACATCTATTACCTCTTCTATTTCTGCACTTTCCACAAGAGTCAACAAAGCGCAAAACATGCCTGTCTGTTGGGATCCATCGCTAGAAGTAGATGATTTGTTTTATTTATTTAAATGCTGGCCTTCCCAACAAAGACTACAGGTTCATAGATTCATAGATGGAGGGTTGGAAGGGACCTGAGTAGATCATCAAGTCCGACTCCCTGCCCTGGGCAGGTGGCTTACGATAAGAGGAAAAATAGCTTATAAAACCATGTAGAGTATTAAGGTATCAAATAAATTATCCCTAAATAATATGCCAGTTTAGCCTTGCTTACTAAATATCAGTTCAAATAAGGTCTTACAAAGCTTCTGGAAGATGTCTAGGGTTGGGTTCTGATGAGCCCCATAACTGGCATGCTCTAACAGGGCACAGTACACATTACTGGAATGTAAAATCAGCACAGTCTGTGACTAGTTATTACATTTAAGACTTTTGAAAAAAACTGTTTAAACTTGATTGTCTCTGAAATTTCTTGTGGGAATGAATTTATGGTAATCCAGACCATCTTTAGAATGTCAGCAGAACACACAGTTTTTCACAACTGGCTCTTGTGCCCTGAATTACTGACTATCTTTACAAGGACGTATGCACCACCCCCATACAGCTTGCTCTGAAGATGCATACTGACACTGGTGTTGGTACTCAACAATATTTTCCACTCATGGAATACAAAACATAGTCAACATCTAGCCATGTGACAAGTGTAACAGCCAGCATGAGGAACAAATCCAGATACTCATCCCTATGCTAAGTTTAGTGAAATGTTCATCTCCCTGAAGAAAATTGACCCCGTGCCAAAACGAGAAAGGAACTTCTACCACATGTGAGAGATTGGCTGGGAAGAGAGGAAGATATAACATTAAAATCTACCAGATGCCTCCTAGGACTTTGGAGTGACCTGACATCTTTCTTGATCACCTGCCAGCATCATCCACTCACCAAATAGTATTGGCCTTCAGCCACTATTGCCACCTCCGCAGATGGGAGATTACAGCTACTTTCCTATGCAGCATAATATACAGTTCAAATTTCTGTCACTGGAAGCATCTGCTGAGAGAAGCTGACCGCAGCATAACTGAGAGAGGAGTGATCAGGGTAGCAGCCCAGTGTGCTGTCTGTAACAGGGAAGGGCCAATACAAAAATAGGCACTGTTGTGATGGTGGCTGCACCATCACTGCCCAGAGCACGGAGCTACTGTGATATGCCTCTGGAAGCTGGCAGGGCCTGTAGGATGAATTTAAGAAATCTTTGGGCCCAAAGTGAGAATTATGCAACAGTGATTACCAAACATAACTAACAGGCCAGTGTGAAGCAGCTAGTATTCACTTTGGATTCAGATTTAGCCAATTCAGTGGAAAATGATTCAATTTGGTGATTCGAATCACTCCCCCAAATCGATTTGTCTGAATCTGATTTAGAAATTCTGCTGCTGCCGAATCAGTTGAATCTCCGGATCACACAGGCTCCAACCCTTCCCGCTCTCCCAGCCCTGCCCAGCCCCAGCTCCTGGCTCTTTGGAAAAAAAAAAAGCCCCCACTCACCAGCTGCTGCCAGGCAAGGGAAGCAATCCCTGCTGCCGCCCCCACTATCCCATGCTGTGTGGGGGGTGCGTGGCAAAGCCCCCCATGCAGCATGGGGCAGTGAGGGTCAGCAAGGATTGCCACCCCGCCTTCCACCAGATGGTGAGTAGGGGCTTTTTTTTAAGCAACCAGCAGCAGCCATGGTGGGGTGGGGAGGGCTGGGACAGCGGGCAGGGGGCACTCAGGGAGCCTGGGGGAGCAGGCAGAGGATGGCCTGGCAGGGGTCCCCCTATGGGGTTCCCTTCCCCCTCCTCCAGCATTCTGTCCCCCGCCCCCTACTTACCAGCATGGAGTCCAGGTCCAGCTCCCTGCTGCAGCCAGTGGGGACTGCCGAAATTTCCAAAGTTCTCTGAAACTTTTCTGAATTGATTCAGAGAGCTTCAAATCAATTCAGACCTTTTAACTGGTCCCTTGATTCAATCCAAATTTGGAGATTCAGCCACTGAATCAGCCCAAATCTCCTCCAAATCAAATCAGCAGCCAAAGCTTTGCACAGACCTAATAACTAAAGCCTAGAAATATGTTAAAATATCTGCGGAGTCCACACCTACCGGCAATGAATAACAATTGGAACACTCCGGCTGTATCTGTTGTCCTCGGTGACAGGCTTAGCTGGGAGCTTTTTTCTGAGGTTTAGAGCCATGGAGATCAAGTCCTTGGGGTTTTCTGGAACATCCATGTAATTCCAGCTATGGTACTGGTAATGATACACTGTTTGAATTTCTTTCCTCTGCAACACAGATAAATGTGTAATGAAATCACAGGATAATACCATGTATTGTATTCACTCTACAGGTACTAAAAAACAAAAAAAGGTGATCACATAGGACTAGATTGTGACCTGATCTTTCTTCGCAGGGACATGAGGTTGGTGAGCACCCAGGCATTTGGCCTAAGTACACAAGAGTGATTAGGTACTGTGTACTCATTTCCACTCTCTTAGCAGGTGGAGATTTTGTTCAGCCAGTTTATATATAGTACAGAAGAGTTTGCTGACGGTCTGAGACAACAGTAAATTACCATCCCCAGGAAGAAGATGGAAACAGAGGAAACCGACCACCTAGAGGGGTCTCTAGACCTTGTTTTACTTATGTTTGACGTAGCTTTTAAATCACTGCTGAGTAGCAAAGTCTTAATTTTAAAAATATTTAAAAATTAGAGTAAAGAACTAATAAAATCAGCTATAAAAACTTCATAACACAAGCATTTTTCTCATCTTTTGGCTGCTCCTTTATGCATGGCTAAGTTTAAAATTGAAAAAGCAAATGTAAAACACTCATCTGTTGCATTTTATCTATTACCTTTGCATGTGTGATATCAAACACACGAATGGTGTAGCTAGAAGACTGGCTGATATCTTTCATTTCAACATCTATACCATCATATGTTTGTTTTTGTTCTCCCCAGTACTGTGCACAGAGTTCCTAGAAAGGATAAAAGTACAAATTAGTCCTTTCTTTTCAATTTTTTGACCTTTCTTTCTACATTAATGTATGGGATCAATATATTTTAAAATATTTGGAGATGCCAGATTTATTATAAAATGCATGGTCAATGAATGCTTACTTTTTCATCAAAAGTTATTTCAACATGTTTCAAAGTATAAAGGTGTAGTAATTCTTATTACAAAATCCAAAAGCATAAATTGATATACACACTTTTTTGGTTTGAAAAGGTTTCTGATGCTATACAGAAACTGGAATTCTGTGATTTTACATTGCAGAAGATTATACTAACCTGATCTCCTTCTTTCAGCTCTGTCAACATAACGATGACTTTGACTTTTCTTTGGAAGACCATTTGCCAGAAGTCATTGACTGTTTCCTGCATTGGTGCTTGGGTTGCAATCATTGCTCTTGGACCCCAGTAACCCTAGAAAAGTCAAATTTAACATTTTTTTTTTCTTTAAACTAATTCACTTGAAAAGGCATTTGTCATATCTACTTGACTTTATGACTATTTGTCATGTCATGTTTACTTGGCTTCAGACTAACAACATTAACTTCACAGCTAGTAATGTCTCCATGTTTAAAGAAGTCATAGCCATCTAACGGCTATTTATTGAGGTCACAGTCCAGGTCCTTAAGGATAAGAACATCACAAAACTCACTATTTCAGTGGTCCATAATCTGAAAGGAAAAAAAACAGTGGAAGTACATGACTGACTTCTCCTAACTCCCAGTATTTTCTCCAGTGTTTCTCCATGTTGTCATATGCAACAATGGGATACATTTGCACTGTAATGGGAGGAAGTTTAGGCATTCAAGGTTTGTGGAGCATGGGGTAAGGGATTTAAAAAAGAGCATTTCCTTTTCCACATCTGTTGTTACAACCTGATATCTAGTAAACCTTTGTACAGCATAACTGACCTGACTGTATTGACAGTAAGCAGAAAATTATAAGTGAATATACAATATTATAACCTAAAGAACTCATACAAATCCCATTCCCTGTGGAATGTTATAATTAAGTATCTCTATTAATGTAACTATAAAATCAGATGTGAATGTAATACTAAAAGCCTGATTTTCCCTAATACATTGTTGTATTTATGAATAACCCTGCTCATGATTCACTGAAAAAAATATTAATACTTGTAACTACCAATCTGTGCCAGAAATTCACACAGATGTCTATTCATATTTCTGCTGGCAAAAGTATAAACTGGACTATGGCCTATCTGAACTTCAGCTTAAAAAAATAAAACAAGGAAAGATAGTTGCTTTATTTACATTCATTATATTTATTATGCTTCCTGTTCAATTTCTGACTACTGCTAAATTAGTTAACTGTTTGAGGCTGTACAGACTAGGATTGTATGGCTAAGTACAGACAGTCAAAAAGCTCAAGGCTGAATTGATTCAATCTCTGCAGGTTAGTCTAAACTGCATAGATTGAACCGATAAGCACGTGAACAGACATCCACATTTGATTCTGGAAATATAGTGGTAGCTCAGGCCAGAAGCTGGGGGTGTCGTGGGGGGGAGGGGGCACTACAGCCTTCCCTCCCTTCCCTTCTCTTCGGCAGTGGCCAGAAGGCTGGAGAAAAGCTGCAAGAGAAGCACTCTGAGGCTTCCCCTCTCCCCACCCCACACTCGAACTGGCAGGCCTGCTGAGTATGATGGGGGGTTAAACACCCACCCTGCCCTGCACAGATCCCAGCCAAAATGTGCGGGGGCACAGGAAGAAGCAGCTCCTAGGAGGCTTTTCCCTTGTTCCCTCCTGGATGGGAGACACGGTTGTAGGGGCATGACCAGAACCCAGCTTGGGCCAGAACACAGTGGGGAGGAGGGTTTAAATCCCATCCCTGGCCCCCACGGTACTCCAGCAGGGGTCTGCCTTGCAGGGGTGGAGCAGCACCTAATAGGCTTTTACTCTGCTCCCTGCTCCAGTGGCAAGTGGGGAAAACCTATCAGGGGCTGCTCCTTCCCTGCAAGGCAGACCCCGCCTGGGATCCCATATGGGCAGGGAAGGTGGCTTAAATCTCCTTCCCTTCCCTTTGCCTCAGTGTGCTGGCTTGGGCTAGCATCTGTCTATACCCCTGCTCCACTCCAGCGGCAAGTGGGTGAAATGCCTTTGAAGGGCTGCTCCACCCCAACCAGGAAGACCCCAGCTGGGGTCTGGAGCCAGGTTTCTCACCTGCACCTGCTTCTCAGCCAGTGAGGCTGGCTGGGAGGAGAGGGGTGGGGCAAACCCTGCTTTGCAGCATTCTGGGGGACTGAGAGTTAACTTGAACCAGAAAGGGGTCTTGGACAGAAGTTCTATAAACCAATTTGACCTAAATCAATTCAGTCTGATACTACATGCAACCAGGTTAATCTTAAACCAGTTGTGGCCATTTTGAAAGTGGTTTAAGTACACTGAACTTCTGTTCTGTTACAGGTCTAAACCAGTTTTTGATCACTTAAACTGGTTTGTTTATGTGTAACTTCTGTCCGTAATGTATAAGGTTGGAGTTTCATCAAATATTAGATCTTTGTGATACAATCCATAAATGAATATGTAAATGAAGTGTGTCCTTTATACAGACAACTACATCTTTATGCATGAAGCCAATATGGCTACTTGTGACATAAGCAAAAATAAGTACCTAGCTGTTATTGGTGACTTTACATTAGATGAGTGTAATCCCTCTTATAAATACATACGGATATGAATGAAGCATTGATGTATCTGCTTGCTTCCTCACTTTCACTGTCCTCATCAGAGGATTCATCTGAATCATGTTCACTCTCTTTGCTTTTCTCCTCTTCATGTTTAATTGGTACGCGGTTAAAATCATCTGCATAAGAAAAAAACATCACACCAATAAATTCTCTCTATTTTTTTATTCTATTTCACATGAACAAAAAGCCATTCGTTTTGTTTAAAGGAAACTCTATGAAGCAAAAAGGCAGCTATGCACAGATGTCACTTTCAATGGCACCATGGTTGCTGTAAAAAAATCAGGCATGAATAACAGTTTACTCTTTAACATATCCCTTACTTTTTAGAGAGTAGTAAGTTAATTTAAAATACATATTATCCATAAGTTAATGCACTGTCCAATTTTGTTATTCCTTTCAAAGAACTTTCATTTACTTAGAACAAATTGACTATAGGCATAGCTACAAATACTCACATGGAATTACTTTGGAATTCCTGTTTTTACTTTTATTTTCCCCACGATTTCCAGTGTTCTGTGTCCGCCATCCCTTGTAGGTTGGTAGCCTCTGAGGAAAAAAAACATACAGATTTCACAAAATCTGTATAAAAAAGTATGTTATAGTCCATATGACACAGAAAAGACACTGAAGGACATTAGTGCTTCGCCTGTACATGTATCAAATGCACAGATTTCTAGTTAAATACCTGGAATAGTAATGGAAATTTGCATTGCCAGATCTTGATAAATTCAAATAAGATTATAGTGACAAATAAATCAATAGCTCTGAGATAAATATTTTGTAATATTTTTTCTTTATTCTATGGTCTTGATTCTACAGGCTGTTCTATTCAGTCACATGCCTTTCTCCTGAAGTGATATGGAAAAGTTTGTAGGCCGGAACACTAAATACTGATCATATACACGCTGCTGGTCAATTCATATGAAATGATAAACGTGTCCATTATATTCCACATATAAATCTTTGTAAGACAAAATTCAACTATTGAACAGTAAAGGCAGGAAAAAGAAGAACTGAAAAACAACAAGCTACGACTTGTAATTCATATAAATATACATTTGTGCTCTTCCTTCAAAAATACAAAATGTCAACTTACAAACAAACAGAAAACTAGAGCAATTGGGGCTCTATAAAAATATTTCAGGGGCCTAATTTGCACTTTGAGAAATTCTTGTCTCCACTGATTTTATTTTAAATAAATGAAGTCTTTGAATTATTCCATAAAACTAAATTAATGCAAATCAGACTAGAGTCAAGTTAAACAGATTGTGCTGGTATATTTACCTGGAATTCTGCTTCCAGCAGAGATGGTTCATTTGGTTGGTCTCTTCTCTTTAGGTAGTTAAGATAAGTATGCAGTTCTGAGAGAGGGACCTCTGTTTCACCAAATTGATTGTATTCCACCAGTGCTTGATGAATCAAGATGTACTGTGCCTAGCGTTCCCCAGTTTAAAGGTGACATGGGTTTCAAATGGAAATCAATCATTAGAAAATATTTTCAAATGACTAGCTATTTCAAAACAACATAAAATCGCTATGTATTTAGTGTTATCATTGTTGACATATTAAACAAGCATTAGAATCAGCCAGTAGGGGTGTGAGAAGCAGGCCCTATTTGATTGGATTCAGATTTGGCCCGAATCAGGGACAATGATTTGATTTGTTGATTTGAATCAGTGACCCTGATTCAATTAAACCAAATCTGAATCTGAAGATTCGATGATGATTTGGAGAATCAGCGATTTGGATATAGACACATCTTTAAAAGTTTTTTCTACATACCTCCAGGTATCATCATGGCTTGTGAATGTTGCAATGCTGGGGCGCATGGAGCATCCCACAGGAATGTGGGGGGGGAAGGGGTGGCCTTCATGTGCTCGACAGTGAACCCGGAAGTGGACTGGAAGTACTTGGGCCAGCATCTGGCTATAGCCCTCCTCCACTCCAGCAGCAAGCAGGTGAAATGCCTGTGAAGGGCTGCTCCAGACCAAAAGTACTTCCGGTCCACTTCCAGGTCTGCTGGGGAACACATGGGGGGCCCCCATACCCCCTCAGCTTGGCAGTTGGCCATAGGGGGACCCCAGGTGCCCCCCCTGCAGACCCAGGAGGCACCAGTCACCAAGCCAGACAGGCGTAGCCCAGCACACTCCCCGGCAGACCCAGAAGTGGACAAGTGCTTCTGGTCCACTTCCAGGTCTGCTACCAAGCATTCTAGGGAGCTCCCCATGCTTCTGTAGAACACTCCATGTGTCCCAGCATTGCAGCATTCACAAGCCCCTGCTACCTAGAGGTATGTAGAAAAAACATTTAAAGCTGTCTCTATGTCCAAATTGCTGAATCTTTCTGAATCTGTCCAAATTGATTTGGAGGGTTCTGATTCATTTCAGAGAGATTAAAGGGTCCTCTGATTTGATTCAGATTCAGAGATTCAGCCAGCAAATTGGGCCAAATCTCCACTGAATCAAATCAGAGACTTAAGCTTTGCATAGCCCTAACAGACAGTACCATAACTGGTGGTGAGCAAGCAGGGCATCCACAGTGGGCACCAAGTTAGGATGGGCACCAGATTCATGCCCCACCACTGCAGAATCTGGGTGCCACCAGTCTTGCCATACCAGGAACTCCAAAACAGTCCAGGACTGCTGTTGCTTTAAGAGAAACAGCTGGGGTGGACAGAGCATATGCAGTGACAGCAGCTCAGCTAGGACTGTTTAGAAGTTCCTAGCTGGGTAAAGCTGCTGCCCCACCCTGCCCTTTCTCAGAACATATGCCCCGTGCCCCCCCCAGAAACTATGCTACTGCTCCATCCCCCGCCTACCTCTGCTCTCAAAACCCTTGCCCCTCCTGCTCTCAGAATCATGTGATCCCCCACCCACTGTCTGAACCACATGCCTCACTCCCACTCTCTAGCAGGTTTTGCCCGAGGGACCAGCTCAGCTTGTTACACCACTGAGTATAGCTATTACAAAGTGGTATGTCTCATTATTAATTAAATGAGCTGTGAGGGAACACTGTTCAGTCCTTTGGATCAAATATGTCATGATAAATGAATAAAATGAAATGTTAGTAAGGTTGTAAACTTGAGAGTTTAGGAAGGATTTTCAAAAAATCTCAGGGCTTTGTTACACCTTATACTGAGCCACACAAATGTTGATTGATGTTAGTGCTAGCTTGAGTTTGAAGCAGTCATACTTCAGGCCAGCAGGAGCCTACAGTACTGAAAGGTAAGACTCCTCCCCACTTCTCATTCCCAGATTCCCCCTGCACCCTTTCCTCTATGGCTCCCCCGTTTGCCCCCCACACTGCCCCAGGGGCTCTCTCCCACCCCACTTACTTGCTGCTATCCATGCTGTCTGTCAAAGTGGAGCAGGCAGAAAAGGGTTAACCTGCCTGCCCAGATACTGCTACCTTCTGGGCTGGGCTGAGCAGTGACACCCACTGGGTAGGCAGGTTAACCCTACCCTGCCTGTTCCCCCAGAACACAGAGTGTAGGCAGCCACAAGTAAGTGAGGTGAGGGGATGGGGTGGGGGCAGTGAGTGAGGATTTGGGGTGCTGGGGGGAAGGGGATGAGCAGTGCGGGCCAGTGGGGGAGAGGGGCAGGTGGGGTGTTTATTTAAAGTGTAGCCTAGAGTGTCCACATATTAATGTTACACAAGCTGGCTAAAATGGATCATAGAGAGATCCTGGTCTGGAGTGTTGTAAGTTAAGTGCTTAAAACTAGTTTCAGGTATGTGCAGACAATCCAGATGTTAAGAGCTCCAAGAGCTACCTAAAATTACTATGTAACGAGGCCTGCAGAGTAACAAGCATAGGACCCATTTGTTATTAACTTTCAATAGGACTTGTATTCTTTTAAATACAGGAACCTGATAAAAGGAAGAAAGGAGAACAGCAGAGTTTAGATTCTGGGGTGTGTATTGATGAAACAGGGGCCCTAAATTGAAGTGGTGGGTTTTTAAAAACACAGCTTCAATTTAGGGCGCTTTAAACCCCCGTGTTGTGCACAAACCCCACTGACTTACCTGCCTCTCCGGCACTGGGGAGGGGAGGTGAGCTGCCAGTGGGCAAAACAGTCCCTGGGCTGCAGAGGGGGAAGCTGGTACTTCTCTCTGCAGCACCAGGTACCTGGCTCGGGCAGTCCCAGGGGGCACCGCAGCCACAGAGAGAAGCACCAGGCCCTGCGCAGCTCAGGCAGGCAGGCAGGCTCTAGGTGGGGGGGAGGGGAAATAGATCAGGCTCACCACTTTTTTTGGAAGGAGCCTGCCTTTGTGGGCTGCTGCCAGGCTGCCTACAGAGCCCCTGAGCTGCATGGACCCAGTGCTTTGCTCTGCGGCTCTAGGGGCATCAAACCAAAACTTGGAGGAGTTTTTTTGCTGTGTCCCAAGTCATTTAAGGTGCATGGATTCACCAAAGGCAAGTCATGCCTGACCAATCTGATTCCCTTCTATAATGAGATAACTGGCTCTGTAGTTATGGGGAGACCACTGGATATAATATACCTTGACTTTAGCAAGGTTTTTGATACCATCTCCCATAGTATTCTTGCAAGCAAGTTGAGGAAGCATGGGTTGGTTGCATAGGCAGAGGGAGAAAATATTATTTGGGGGGGCTGAGCACATGCATGCACTTCTGTGTGTGCATGCACACTGCACCCTCCTCCCCCAGCAGGTAAGTCTGTTGTGGGGAAGTGGCATGGTGGGGGCAGATTGAGGCCCCTGCAGTGAGGCAGGGAGTGGGGCACAGGCAGGGGCAAGGGCTGGAGTGAATGGGGCCCCAAAGCTGAGATGGGTTATGGGATGCTCTGAGCCTAGGCAGCTTGTCCAGGGGTACTGTGCGCACCCTGGAGGGCATGCATCCCCCAGATCTGTGCACTGGGTGGACACAGGTTCCCACTGCAGGCTGGACTCTGCACCCCATTCAAGGCAGGCACATGGTATCATGATGCTCCAGGGCAGCAGCAGTGAGGTGCAGAGTCCAGCCCACCTCTGCCCCATGCACAGATCCAGGGGGCATGTGCCTCCCAGGTCTCCCTGTGATGCTATAGAAAGGATACTTAGATTCATTCATAGATTGTAAGGCTGGAAGGTACCTTGGACAATCATTGGGTCCAGCTCCCTGCACCAAGCAGGAAAGATAACTGGGGGTCAGATGATCCCAGCCAGGTGACTGTCTAGTCTCCTCTTGAAGATTTCCAGGGTAGGTGATTGCACCAACTCTGGTGGGAGCTTATTCCACAGTCTGGACACCCTGATTGTGAAGAAGTTTTTCCTAATGTTGAGCCAGAATCGATCTTCCAGGACTTTGTGGCCGTTACTCCTGGTTTTTCCCTTGGGTGCCCTGGTGAACAGTTGCTCACCAACCCCTTGATGTACTCCCCTCGTGTAGTGGTAAGCTGCTACCAGGTACTCTCAGCCTCATTTTCCTCAGGCTGAAGTCTCCCAGCCTTTCCTCATATGGCTTGCCGTGTAAGACTCTGATCAAACTGGTGGCTCTTCTTTGGACTCTCTCAAGCTTATCCATGTCCTTGTTAAAAGTGTGGTGCCCAGAACTGGATGTAGTACTCCAGCTGTAGTCTCACCAATACTGAGCAGAGTGGAAGAATCACCTCCTTGGTTTTGCTGGAGATGCATCGATTGACTATCATGCTACCAGTACCTATTCATATTGTGGTCTATTATTACCCCCAGGTCCCTTTCATTTGTGATGCTAGTCAGTTTGGTGCTGCCAAGCCTGTAGGTGTGTTGGTGACTGCTTGTCTCGAGGTGGACATTTCTCAATGTTGAACTTCAGATTCTGATCTACCCAACCTGCTAGCTTGTCTAGGTACACCTGTATCTGTAGCCTATCTTAAAGCGTGACCACACTTCCCCATAACTTGGTGTCATCTGTGAACTTGGCCAGTGAGCTCTTCACCCCCATATCCAAATCATTAATAAAGATGCTGAAAAGTACTGGACCAACCACCTACCCCTACAGGACATCGCTACCCACTTCTTGCCAGGATGACACAGATCCGTTCACTATGACTGTCTGGGTCCTATCCTGCAGCCAGTTTCTCACCCACCTGACTGTCTTGGAGTTAAGCCCACAATCCTCCAATTTTCTTCAAGTTGGAGAGAGTCCAATGGAGAAAAACAAAAATGCTTCGGGAGCTGGGGCATATGACTTATGAGGAGAGGGTGAGGGAGCTGAGTTTATTTAGTTTGGAGAAGAGAAGACTGAGAAGGGATCTGAGCTAACTATTTGAAGGGTAGTTCGAAAGAGGATGAAGTTCTACTGATCTCAGTGGTGACCAATGACAGAACAAGAAGCAATGGTCTTAAGATGCAGCAAGGGAGGTTTAAGTTGGGTTTTAGGAAGATCTCTCTCACTAGGAGGGTGGTGAAGCACTTGAACAAGTTACCTAGAGAGGTGGTGGAATCTCTATCCTTGGGGGTTTTTAAGGCCTGTCTTGACAAAGTCTTGGCTGGAATGATTTAGGTGGGGATGGTCCTCCTTTGAACAGGGGATTGGATTAAAAGATGACCTCCTGAGGTCCCTTCCAACTCTAACTTTATATGATTCCTAACTCAGAAGCTTTTTAAAGTCCCATCTAAACAATTTTAAATGTTAAAACTAATTTTGAACTTCAAATTTTAACTTTGCCCCACTGAATATATGCATTTGAATAAACCACAGTATTGAAACTGCATGTCAAAACTTGGGTTCCTAAATATATATTTTTGCCTTTATTGCCTAAAATATTCAATTATAACAAAAAATTGTTGAAGTCTCATAATACGGAAAGTAATGAACATCCTTACTTCCTAAATAGTTTTTTCTCCACCTTCCTTCATAACTGTATGTCTCTCTAGAGAGCTGGAGTAAAAAATTGTGGTTATCTTAGTTTTACCTAGCATTAGGCAAAGAAAGGCATAAATGAATAAAACATACCTCTACTTGAACCATGAGACATCGCTGTCGGCGTAATTTTACAACATAGCCATAAACATCAACTCTGTTTTCTGCATCTAGACCCTCCAGCATTGCATCTATGCCAATATAGGTCCCAGTGCGTCCAACACCAGCACTGACAAGTAAAATGTTATGAAGTTATTGAGAGGAGATAGTAGCTATCAGTCTTATTAAGTAAGGGAATGCAAGGTACAGGATGAACAGTACAAGTGAAACCAATGGGGCTTACTATAAATTAATCTTCAATGCAGAACTCGATTAAACTTGCATTTTTGAAAGAAACAAGGAGAATATTTTCAAATATAGTGCTTAGAGACAGTCAGATTGAAAAGTGGTTGCTTTTCAAAGTTCCAGTTCCAATTGATCTGAATGGCATGTTTACCTTTGAAATTTAGATTGCTATAGGTACCTTTAAAACAATCTTTGGCCTAAGCTATCATTTCTAATCTTTTCTGACATGCTTATTTAGGGTAGTTTTGGTTGGTATTTATCATCAGAATGTAACATTACCTGCAATGAATCACTATTGGGCCACTGAAAAAGTTGCTTAAAGCATTAACACGGCGGCGCAGTTTGAGGAGGAGATGCGGGTCATCAGGCACACCATGGTCAGGCCAGCTAGTAAACTGAATGTGAGTGATGTCTCTCCCAGATGTTTTCTCTTTTCTCTGGATAAAGTTAAATTGGTTCATTAGTACCATATCAAAGTCAAATGAAACACAAAGTATAGAAAAAAGCAGAAGAAAACAGATATAGTAGTCAGGTAATGTGGCAGCAGAAATTCCAAACATTCTACAGTCATACGGTTTTGGCAAGCTTTCACAAGTTTGAACTTTTCTCTAATCCAATTTTAATAACAAAACAATGGCAGAAAATAAGAGCTGTCTATAGGGAACATTTGTTAACTAAAAGAAATTAGTTTACAATCAGCAGCACACAATCTAAAGTTACTATAATTGGAGTAATCTTGGGGTTTTTTTGTGAAGATATGGAATAACATCACAATATAATACTGAACTTCTAAATGAACCAGGCAGTTAGAGTATAAGTCTGCTGCCCAAACCAGTTATTCTGTCATCTAAGCTATTAATTCCCTCCTAAAGTAATCAATGTCCACACCCAAAAAGGACTGAAGGAAGGCAACAGCAACTCAGAAATATGGTTGTGTATATACATTTCAGGTTTGTTCTCCTGGTAGAGAAACTTACCCAGAGCCATGTGAATAGACCTTTGAATGCTGAAGCCCTGAAGAGTGGAGAGCTTGCAGTACCAACACTGTACAGCCAGGAAGTGGGGGTAGCAGGAGATGGGGGAACATTTTTCTGTGCACACATCTCGGTATGCTCTGCAAGCTCCCTTAGCCATCAGGGTAACAAATGGTAGCAGTGCATAGGGCAGCACTGATTGCCTGACCCTGACCATCTATGGTTAGCCTGTGCTTCCCTGCAGCACAATGTGGGGATGTGAAAGGGGTGTTTTCTGCTTCCTTCTGGAGCAGCAGAGTCCATCCAGAAACATATTGTCTTCCAGAAGGGAGCAGGGGGAGATGCTGAAGGACTGTGCTCTCTTCTGAGAGAAGCCACAGCATATACAGCCATTTGCTCTCCCAGAAGAAACTCTCCTGGGAGTGATTTAAATGGGTGTTACCAGGTTATTTTTCTCTTGGAGTGACCATTTTTACTTTGGGAGAAAAAGCCTGACCATCTGTACACTCGTGGTTTCTCATGGGAGAATAGCGATTCTCCCAGGAGAAACTAAATGTATGAAGCCATAAAAGTGGCAGCAGCAAAGCCTATGGGCACAGACAGAAGTGCAGCTCCCAGGTCTTACCTCAGGGGCACTCCAATCCACCTACCATCCTCCCTCCAGCATGGCTGGGAAAACCCCAGAATGGACCTCCCTCCCCTACCTTCTTTCCCTCCCATCCTGAGACAGCACTGGGGGCTGGACTGTGCTACATCAGCCTGGTGCCAGAGCCAACAGAAATTAATGAAAGTGCTCCACTTTGGAGTATCTTCATTTGAACCCTCATACAATGAGGGTTAATTTGCTGTGCAATTGAAGTACTCTGCAGCCATGCTTGTCTGTTTGGGCGTGGTTTTAGGGTGCTTTCAAGAGGCTGGTTTACCAACATATGTATTTTCTGTCTGCGCCCTATACTTATCACTCATACTGGTACTGTTTTCTAAGTCACTGTGCTCAAGGATTACATCACACTGGGTTCCACATGATCACAGAACCTATTGTAAACCTAGTGCCTTGAGGAGAGGGAAAGAACAGACATTTTGGTAACTTGGGAACCATGATTGTGAAACAAAATTAGCAAAATATAGAATCATATCATCACAGGGTTGAAAGGAATCTCAAGAAACATTTGGTCCAACATAAATGCAGGATACATTATTCCTAGAACACACTGGTGACGTGCATATCCAGGATTTTCTCATCCTATCCTCCAAAGTGTCATTTGGCATTATATAAGAGTAATGGGATATTTTGTTATCATTATATGATGGATTGGGACTGACATAGCAGAACATTTTGAAGGTTTCCAAACTCTTGTTGTGAGATAGAGATCTAACAATAAAGCCTAAATTACAATAAAACTAGCCATGAGGTTAAGGGGTTTAATAATACAAAGTACTGAAAGTTCTTCCATCTATGATCAAATTTATTATACATATTACCAGCAGTGAACTACCATTAAGCCACAAACCATTAAATCTGGGCACATCTACATGTGCACTTTACTGCAAAGTAGACTAATCTACGTGCATGGCAGTTAGGACACGGTAGACTGATTTACTGTGCCATCAGATAGTCCTGTCAAATACAAGTACTATCCAGTGGAGCAGTAAGTTATTGCGCTTAAAAGCATGTGTAAATGGTGATGGGGCTGGCTGGGGGACCCAGCATGCCAGCCCAGGGCTGCTCCAACCAGGCTTCATGTGCAGTGGGGGTGCTGGATGAGGCATGAGGGTGCTTCAGCTCAGAGGCTCCTCATGCCTCAGCCAGCCACTCTGCAGCACATGGAGCCCCACTGGAGCAGCTCTGAGGCTCCACATGTTGCATGGGGGCTGGCTGGGACTCAGAGGTGTTTCAGCATAGGGGCTGCCTGCTGGTTAGCCCTGCATCAAAGCACCCTTATGCCCCAGCCAGCCCCTCAGCAGCACGAGGAGTCCCAGCAGAACAACCCTGGGCTGGCTGCTCTGACAAGGCTCCACATGCTGTGGAATGGATGGCTGAGGCATGAGCAATATGCTCCAGAGTTTATTTGTGTACATTAATTGCACACTAGATGCACCCTCTGTGGATTTAACTGCATCTGAATTAGTTTTACTCATTTTCAGCGCCCCCAAAAAGAAAATTGATAATTTATAGTACTTTAAGTATTATGTACCACAACATGTTAACATGGCTTTAAAGACAAATAGGCAAACTATAAACAAATCAATTTACACAAAATAAACAATACACCTTTCTTTTGACCTGTATAAACTTGCTACTCCAAACTAGAATCTCTCCTAAGTGTTATGTTACACTTTAATTAAGAGCTACATCTCAATATCCTCATGCTATAGTTGATATGCTAATGCTGTTGTACCTGGATTACCCTGTAGAGAAAAGCTTCTGCTTAACAGTAGCAGAATAAGGCCTAAAAGACACAAACATGGGAGCAATATGGATCTGGTTTGTTGACACTCTACTTGTTTCAAAATGGTCTTTAATTGTCTCCTTCTATATTTACTATAAAGGTAGACAATGCTGCTCTAGGAGTCACAATCTTGCTATCAGTTTACACGACAAAGATAATACTGAAACCAATAGGGAGGGAAAATTAGTTAGGAGATGTATTTCCATTGCATATTTGCAATATTATATCACCCATCATCTACCTGGTGTTGTCTTAGGTTGTTTGGCAAAAGCAGGAGAAATGTCTTCCATTCCCATTAACTGGTGTTTTAGAAGAATCTCTTATAATGTCTTTGTACTATAAGCATGCAAATTCATTCAGATAATCTTTGTATTAATAAAGCAACTCACATTGGTAATATGCAGTTTTTGGATGATGTAGTCAGGGCACGTTTTAATTTCATTTATCTTCACAACGATATCCCCAAAAGTTGCAGTGTCATCCTCCATGGATGGCCAATACTGGGCACATTTGTTCTATAAAAAAAATAGTACATAATTAAAGGCAGAATATCTAGGTGACAGAGAGTATATTTTGAAGAATGCCTGAAATAAAAGAAAACCATAACTTATAAACTAGTATAATTTCAGCTTCTGAAATGCATGTAATTAATTTTATAAAGAGTTCATCACTGATTTAAGCAATATAGGGCCAGGTGCTGCTGTCATGCATAAAGCTTGCAGGTTTTGTCTGCAGAATTTATGTACAAGATTAGAAAAAATCTATCCACTAAGTGTTAGAGGCCATTGTTGCCATCTGAAAATGGCAATTAAGGTTGTGGCTGTTGTGGTGGCCAGAACCAGAGGGGTTACTATCATGAACAATAAATATATGCTCTTGGAGACATCCAGGCAATTGTTTAGCAGTTAAGATTAGCTAATGCAAAGCTTGCAAGTTTGCAACCCGCAAGTGGGATTTGTCTGTCACAATTTAACCAAAGTGTTGTATCTAAATGTTTGCACTGATCAAGGGCCCCCAAAACAAGGAGAGCTACAAGATTAGCTGATCTAACAGTTTTTTTAAAGGTCAGCCATAACAAGATCTGACCACCTAATATAATTAGCACATTACAAGGAATCCAGGAATAAGAAACTAAGGGGCAGAGCTTGGGCAGAGTAATGCTAATTTCAAACCTCAAAGTAACGTGGTGTAATTTGCTTATTGGGTGAACCCAAGTTCAGGCGGTAACCTTTCATTATAATTTCTAACACCTTTTGATCCCATAGGGTAGCAACTATAGGGGAAGATTGTGAGTGGCTCTAAAGCCAACAGATTAGCATAAGATAAGGCATAAAGAAACGCACATGTCAAGTGATCAGTTAGAATGACGGGACAGAAGGACCATCGCTGTACCAAGCCTGGACCCCAGACTCCCATTGTGAGCGAGGACCAGATCCTGACCAAGGGACTTTCCCGGTGACCCCTCGGACAGCGTTGATTGGGGATGCCTGACTTCAGTGGAACAACTTGGCGCGCACCTAGCATAGAGGGACTGCCGATAAGTTGCCAACCCCATGTGGCAACTCTTTGTCATTCTGTCTATCTGTTGTTATTATTCACTATTAGCTCTTTATTATTGTACTATCTGTTTGTCACATTAACCTTTCTGTTAACTGTAGTATGCTAAGCTATAAGTAGATTTGCCTTTACTTCACTCCTGACTCGCCTCTCCAATCCTGAACCCAGAAGCCTAATGGCTAATACACTCACAGCACCTAGCCAGCCTGTGACAGGCTGTATGCGACTCTTGCTTAAATTTTCTAGCAAGCAGACACCCTAATCATGCTCCTCCATGTACATCAGCCCTTGCTTAACTTCCCTTCAACTCTGATAGCAACATGTCCAGAACAAGGAATATTGTACTAATCTACATTCTCATCTCAGAAGTAGAATGTTGTCACAAACCTACAAAGGGAGGGATTTTACTCTAGCACAGCAAATTCTAAGTCCAGTAGCTTAAAATAAAGCTTTGTGCTTATGAGTTTATCAGCAAGAAGGTGAAACTTAATTCCTTATTCCTCAAGCCTTTGCTTCAGACGGAATTACTGATAAGGCTGAAAATCAAACGTATAAATGTCAGAGAGTCTAAGACAAGAAGAGAGCAGCAAATAAGGATGCTGAGGGACTTTAAAGAAACATAAGAACACAGAAAAGATACTAAACAAAAAAAAAGGCATACTTAACCAAAGCAGAGTGACCTACTGTATACAGTAACCAAGTGATTTATAAACAGATATAGTCCTCACCCTGTTTCCTTCCTCACAGCGAGTCACCATGACAATAATTGTTGCCTTCTGTTCCCAGATCATTCTCCAAAAGTCATCAGTAGTCTCATCCTTGGGACCTAGCCGACAAAGTCTTTGATAAGATGACTCTTTCAAAGACTCAAGAAACACTGAAAGACTATGATTTAGTTACCATACTTAATCATATAGGCTCAGAAGCCAAGTACTGGACATGAAACATTAGCCTAAATTAAACAATTCTATGACTCTTTCACATTAGCATATGTTATTTTAAAAACTTCTAAAACTTTTTCTTTCATAACTGAGAATGCAAAACCTCTCTAGCATACAACTAAATCCTCTTAATTAAATATATGAAGCATGATATACAAAAGTTCCTTTCTGCTCCTGAAAAGTGATAACTCCCCAAACCAAAACTAACCTGCTTCCCTTTACTATTTAATAAAATCCATCCTTCTTCAGTTGCCCCCTTTTTTGCTAAATATATTCATGTGATTGATTCCACCACCTTGATCAGACAGTAACTAGAGAAAGATTTAAATAAAAAATGTAAAGTTTTACCTTGTGCTGCAATGTATTTTCTTGATTCCTTGAAGCCCTAATAAAAATAAGGATAAACAAGATGAAAAGGTTTCCCACATGAGAAATGTATATATTTTACATATAACATAGGAATGAATTTGATAATACCAACTGTAGAATAAGGACAGAAAGAGCTAAAAAATTAACAAGTGTCATTTCAGAACAATCAATCAAATGTATTTGGGAAAAAGGAAAGAAGATAAACATGTTTTCGATTGTTCAGTTATAATAAAATTGTTTAGTTTTACCAAAAGTCACTCACATCTATATAGCTTGCATTTATATAGTCCGATCCTGGTTCCCCCATTATTTCTGAGAGTTCAACACGGTTATAATCATCTGTTTAGATAATTTAAAATATGATAAAATTAATATGTTGTTTACATAAACCGAGATAAATGAAAGCAAGAAAACATTTATACAGTATAGAGAATTCATAATGAATACTTACATGGGAGAATATCGATGTAACGGTTTTTATTCTGGTTATAGTTTTTGCGTGCTTCCTTAATTGGAAACTTACTAAAAATTCTTGGAATACTCTGTAATATACAATGTGATTTTTAATTAGCCTAAAAAGTGACAACAACATTCACATTAGTTCCTAATGAAAGTTTGGAACCTAGTCTGTTTTCCACAAGAGTATCTTGATTCCTGCTGATTCACTTTTAAAGTGTATTAAAGGATATAAACATTAACATATTTTTTCATGAAATGAAGAGATGCTTCTCTCACCCTCAGAGGACTGATAAAGAAGCTCTGCCTTCAGTACCAACATAAAAGGTCTCTTGTTGATACCTCAGGCTCTGATAAACTCTAATGAAACAAACAATGATAATAAAAAACTTCTAACTTAAATCCTATGGGATTTAACAAGGACAAGGTGTTTCTTTTTTTAATCTGAGAAATCCAAAGCTGGATAAAAGCCTCCTTGTATAACTGATTTGCACTGACAGGCAGGGCAGGATTTGGCACAACTTGACAGCAGCCACTCAATTTTTTCTTGCTCCTTGTTTTAAATAAATTACGACATTTGGAGATAATGGCAATTTTTATCTAATTCTATTCTTTTTTAGGTAAGCTCTTAAGTTATGTTCATTACCTTGGTGCCAGAGTGCATTACAGAACTGTGTTGAGCAACATAGTTAACATCTATCATATGTGGTTTGTTCTCTCATCTCTCCCCAGAGGGAGAACTATGTATGTAATGAAATGTCTTGCTTTGATGAGGAGTTTTTTTGTTGTTTTTTTTTAATTCTTGGCCAGGTGGCATTTGTAATATTCCTTGTGAAGTGTGGCTTACAATAAGAAATAATATAGAAAAATATGCCTTTCTAGAAAGACCTATTTCACTTTATGCACCTAAATTATATATATACAACCTTGTAACTGAAGTTTTGGGTGCTCATGGGTTGTTTAATTATTGAGAGTTCAATATTTTGTTCCTATAGCCATATTTCAGTACGTACATACAAGAGTTTCTAAGACACCAGGCACCAAACAATGTCCAGCAGCTCCCGTGGAAGCTGCAGAAGGCTGTCATTTTTTCAGATCAGTTATTCCTAAATATGGATTTAGAAACCTGAATAAGGTTACCTTGAACCTTAATTAGATATTAGACGACAATTATATTTTCATTCTGCAATCTATATTCTGTAGGAATGGGCTGACTTTCCATAATTAAAGCTTTTTTCCCATATGAGATAATTTTTCATTACTTGGCACTGAATTAGCTGTTTGTGTGCACTCATAACTTCTTTACATACATATATACATTTTGACTATTGTTTTATGTTTCCACATACAAATATTTACTCTGCAGTTTGACTCTTTTCACAGGTAACAAAGTATTCAGGAAAATGATCTAGTTAAGAGGCAAAAGTCCACTCATACTAGGGATTCTTCTCTGAAAGAGCCTTCTAATAGCCTGCAAATGAGGGACATGTCAAATGTATCTTAGGTTGACCGTTTAGATAGAACAGGGTTATAGTACATGACCTTTAAGAAAGCTACCACATAAATTTCTCTTCAAAAGTTATTATTTACTGTACATACACAAAACACAAACAACAGTGTGTTATGTGATTGAAAGGGGTCAAATTCCATGCAATCGTGTTCATATCAATATGACTGCATTAGTGTAAATAAGATCTAACTATGTCCCTGTATTTTTGTTTATGTTAATTTCTGCTCATCATTCATCATGTATTTTATACAGATAACAAGGCCATCTGAAACCAAATTTGGATGAAAATACATGTTGTCTGAGGCTATTTTGGTATGACAAGGCAAAAGGCACATAATATAAATGCCCTTGAAAATGAACACTGGAACTATACATTTGACTTTTGTCATTGATTAAACAATGAGCAAATCACACACCCAGTCAAGAGTGATGGAATCAATAAGAGTCCATACACAGTCATATGACCTGAAATGAGGATTCAGCTCTTTGTCTTAGATGATTTTTAATGCAGTGCAAGTGGTTAGGTTCTCTAATGTGGCAGATTCTTTTTAATGGCATTTTTCAAAGTAGCTGGTTTGGGATGCGCGGTTCATTTCTAACTGGTTACAAACCTGGAATTCATCCAGGAATAGTCTTCCTTCATCAGCAATCTTTCTCTTGTAGTTTTCCAACAACAGATCTGCAGGAATGGGCTCTATGTTGAGCAGCTGCTTTTCATCATCTTTAACTATATAAATACATATTTGATATTTATTTCATTAGTTTGAATATTTCCATAACATTTCAGTAATACATTTATTCTATAGCATAATGTGTTAACAAAAGAATAGGAACAGTCAGTCATACTAAGCCAAAGATGGGTATAGCACAAAACTCTGGCCTCTCACTAGTAAGTAAAGGCTTCAAAAGGAACAAAACCCCTCCAACTATAGGGGGACACCCCCAAAAAAGACTGCACAGAGAGAAAGCAACTGACTCTCTCTGTATGGAGAAGTGACCTGGTAAGTGATGGGGTATAGGGTCACTGCAACTTCTAAACCTGGCCTATAGATGACAGCAAAGCAGACACAATGATGACATGGTGCTGTTTCCTTTATTACATTCTAGTTAGCCATTTACTAGGTCCAGTAAAATATACTAGTGTGCAAAGCACCTACAAAACTTTTCCACAGAAAATAATAAAAAACATTGCCAATCTTTCAAAATTTCCCCCTGCATAGTCTCTGAGCTCAAATGATCTATAAGGAAAATATACAGGGAACAATAATCAATCTTATTCTTTTTTATTCTGACAAGATAAAATCTTGTATTATTCCATATGGCAATGAAAATGGATTTGAAAATGATATCACTTTCCATTTAGCATAATTAATGTTATAGCCAGAGATAGTTTTGCTTTCTTTCAACATGTTCATAATATATGGGAGTATATATTTTGAGTTTATCAATAGCATACATCAGTCATGTAAAAAGCAGCAAAATGTGTACAATGGAAACTCAGCTGTAATATGTTACAATATATAATTGCCTTCCCCTTGGTTTTTGAACCGAAGAAAACAGAAAGCACAAGAGGCCAAAAATTACCTTTTCAGAATTAAAAAACCCCCCTGAATTGGAACAATTAGTTCATACAAGAAATTTCCCAGAATTTTGACTGATAATCCCAGTCAACCCAATTTCTTTTTAATATCAAAGGCAATCTAATTGTGCCACATTTGCCATGCTAAACAAAATAGTCTCTTGGGATTGCCTACTTTAACAATTTAAAACAATAATTTGTCCCCAATCTGGAATTAGTAGGTACTACCTATCAATCCTATGACTAACCTTTCCTTCCTATTTTTAAGAGCAATAAAAATTGCTCTAGGGCTCCTTAGTGTGCTTGAGTTGCCTGCCAGGATTTATTTTTTGGGAAGTTTTCTGGTGTTGGCTGAACCTATACCTTTTTTCAGAGGTTATGTACTTGATGTAGGAGTCTCCTGTGGTAATAATATGGCTGGGGAGCAAAATTTAATGCAAACACCAATGTGAAAGGTTAAGAGTAAGTGGGCTACCAGACACAGTAAGCAGAAGGATGGTGTGTCAAAAAGTCTTTATAACTGAGCACAGAGGTATCCCATGTTGATGCTCAGTTCTTTACTTGTGGAAAGGTCTTTTTGGAGGGGAATTTGGTTCACAGATGAGCCCCATAAGAGTGTCTAGAGGTCTGTTTTGGTCATATTATGGCCAATGTCTGAGGAACAGAAATAGATTTGGTGCCAAACTAATAAATACAAGGTTTTCCTTATTTTGAAAACTTTTAGTCATGTTCCAACCACTCACTTCATATACTCATTGTGACAGGCCAACTGGTGTGAGAGAGGGTTTGTGTGTTTGACAGAGGGCATAAGTCTTTTTATTAAGCTTTATTAAGTAAGCTTGAGGCCTACTCAGAGAGCTGGTAGCCCAGGGGGGTGGGGGGGGAAGGCAGTGAGTGGGATCCAATGGTCTAAGAGCCCAGAGAGGGGCTGTGGGGATCCACAAACCCAGAGAGGGGCTGTGTGTGGGACCTGAGGGTTCACCAGCCCAGAGGAGGGGCTACAGACAGATACTGCCAAGGCTGGGGAGCCTGGATGTCCCAACAAGTCCAGGAGTGGGGTCAGGACCCAGAAGGGGCCATCGCTGGAGACCAAGTCCAAGGGGGCCAGTCATGCCAGACAGCCTGGAAGTTTCAAGTGGTCTAAGAGCAGGGCCAGGTCCAGGGCCCAGGAGAGGCTAATGGTCCAGGAGGGACCACAGTTGGGGACTGCCGAGCAGGGCAGCCTGGAGATCTCAACTGGCCCAGGAGGGGCCACTGCCAGAGACTGACAGAGTCAGGGACTTGCAGCCAGAGAGGCTCAAGCCTATAAGCCTAGTCCATTATCATGGGCCTGGGCTAAAAGGCTCAGAGAGAATATAGGGGGAAGTGGCCAATAAGGCCAAGATCCCTAAAAGGTAAATGGCTGTAAAACAGAGGTGGGCAAATATGGCCTGTGGGCTAGATCAGGTCTCTGTCCAGCCTCTGGTGGGTCCCTTAGTCTCACCAGGCCCAGGCAAAATCCAGCCTGTGGCGTGTCCCGTCACCCCCTTAGTACGCAGAGGGGCTGGTGCACCTCTGCAGCTGAACTGCCTTTCTTGGCAGTCCAGGTAGCAGCAGCTCCTTCTAGCTGCTGCTGTTGCTATCCCCAGCCCCACTGCATGCCCAGGGGATGGTGGGACATGCCATGGGCTGGATGGCATCTGGGCCTGGTGGGACCAAGGGACCCGCCGCAGGCTGGACAAAGTCCCTCTGGAGGTAGAATCCAGCCTGCAGGCTGTATTTTTCTGACCCTTGTTGTACAGTCATTTGCCTTATAGGGGTCTTGGTTTATTGGCCTCCTTCCCCTATACTAACATTGGACCTTTTAGCTCAGGCCTTGATAAGGAGTGTTGTTTACAATAAGAGATAATAGAGAAAAATCAAGACAAATAAAGGTCTATTTCACTTTATGCACCTAAATGCATAAACCTAAATGCCCATAACTGAAGTTTTGGGCACCCGTGGGTTGTTTAATTTATGGGAGTTTAATGTTTTGTTCCTACATCCATATTTCAGTACCTAAATACAAGAGTTTCTAAAACACTGGGCACCAGCAGCTCCTGTGGAAGCTGTACCCTATGTTACTGACAGGGACCTATGCACACAGACCCCCTGGCCCACCCCACACCCACTCCAGACTTTGCCCAGTGGAGTGAACCAGCTCTGGACCAGCCAGTACCCATGCACACAGCCCTAAACCCAGCCTGCCCCATGCCTGCTCCAAAGTCACCCACCCATGCTGAGCTGGAGCAGCAGCAGCAGGGTTGGTGGCCAGGCAGAAGCTGCTGCTCAGCATGAGGGAAAAGCAGCCCCTCCCCTTCACTGCTGCCAGGTCCTTCTTGCTGTAGCCACCTCGAGCCTGCACCCGGGCTGCCCTGTGGCTCCTCTGCACTGTGACCACTGCCCTGCTGGGTGGCCCAGAGGCATCAGTGATGGCGGTGGAGAGGAGCCATAGGGCAGCCTAGGCATTGCTCTGGGCAGCTGCAGCAAGAAGAGCCCAGCACCAGCAAGAGGGAGGGGCCGAATCAAGACTGCTAGAGACCTGGTGGTGATTTGTATGGACTAAGGCTCACTAAGGCCCATGGGCAGCCTTCCTCATTTAATCTTTGTTAAGAACAAGGTGTGGTGCCTGATAAATCAAGGGAAGGCTACATTAGAGACAGAGCCAGGCAAGAGCCACACAGCCAACAGGGGCATCATGACTACCCCTGTGGCCCGGACCTGGCACAACCACATGTAGAGTCTACTCATTAACTTATTTTTTTGCCTTTGACAACATTGAATTGTTCTAATATAGAATTGCTACTACATGTGCGGTGCTATTAGGCCAGAGTAAACTAACTACTACCAGACACAAGTACTATCCTATGGTGGAGCAATAAACTGTGGCGCAAACTGCACTACATTAATAGCACATCTAGATGCTCCCAATATGTGTTAGATAGAAATTAACTGGGTGAAGCGTGGAAGGCTGTGACTTGGAATTAAGCATTTGTCTAATATTACACATTTTCACTTGCAAAACGTAGTGAAAAAGGTACTTACTTCTAACAAGCCCCACATCTTCAGATGAACTCCTATAAGAAACATAAACATTTATAAGGCTTTGAAATGTAAAGTGCATGTATGGCAATGAATTAAAGGAAGCAATTAATTTGACAATCATAAGGCATGGACAGACATAAAAGTTTATTGCTTTATGGAGAAAGGAGTACATGCCATCTGATTTGTTGCCACAATCATGTCTGTGTGCTCCTATCCCACCATAAATAAAGCTAAACAACGTTACCCTTGAGTGAAAACATAGCTATTACTGCGCTTCATCTTCCACCTATGATGGATTAGAGTAGATAGATGGAACAATCACAGCAAATTAGACAAGACTCTAGAAAGCTCCAATCCCCTGCCTAATTATTAAACTAGTATAATAGTTTTGATCTTCAGACAAGATTAATATCTCTGCACAAAGTTAGATTGATTCCAAGGGGATTGGGATCCCTAAACTATATGAATATTCAGTGATTCTAGGATCAGAAAGATGTGAAAAGTGATTTATACTTGGAGTTGTCTCCCCACACCAAGCCTTTTAGAAGCTAATATTAATGAACAGTGAACAGTTAAAAAATAGGTGGTACATATTCTCAGATGAATCTGTCTTTATAGAAATTTCAAGAAAATTCATAAACATTTCAAGATTCTGAATAGTTAATGAATCAGTAATTTATCAATAGTCAGGGTGAAAAATAATATGGACATGCCATGTTTATTAATGAAAATACTGTATACATAATGTTATATTTATCTCACCAGCTTTTTGTAACCTGTATCAGATCAATCAGAGATATCCTGTTGCACATTATTCAGAGTCCACTTTATAGCCACTGCTATGTAAGCCATCCCACATACCTCTTTGGTTTCACTTGCACTGATTTTTAAATCAAGATTTTCTTTTTCAAACATCAAATGAAATATTTGATTTTCATTTTTAAATTTTTAGCACTATATTCAAAATCTTCTGCATTTTATACTTCTTTAAGAAAAAAAAGTTAAAACATGAAACTTACTGTAAGCTGTCTTTGTGAAGATTATAGATTTTGTACAGAACTAGAAGCAAGGCAATTGATGTGACAATAATCAAGAATGCCAGGAATATAATCAGGGCTTTAGAATTATCTGTCAACCAAGATAAGAAAGAGTATACCCATTTTAACTTCTTTTTAACAAACAATCAGAAATTTTATAACAATTGCATTGACCTTTTTATATGTTTATATATATGCACATAGATATACCGGGTAGGACTGTATGAAGTTTCAGGTGGTGATTCAATTTGGAGGAGATTTGGCCTGATTTGGTGGCCAAATCTCCGAATCTGAATCGAATGAGGGGACTGATTTAAAGGTCCAAATTGATTCAAAGCTCTCCAAATCTTTCGAAAAGATTCAAAGAGCTTTGATGATTTGGGCAGTCCCCAGTGGCTGCAGCTGACTCCAAGCTGGTAAGTACTTGGGGCGGGGGTGAGGGAGGGGACCATGGGGGGCTGGAGCTGGCCCAAGTGGGGCACCTGTGGAGGGGCTGGGGGAGTGAGGGGGGGTCATGGGGCTTGTGGCAGAGCTTCCCATGAAGCATGGGGCAGTGGGGGGCAGTGGAGACCACCCCCCACCCAGCAGCACCCGGTGAGCCAGGGCTTTTTTTCCCCAAAGAGCCGGGAAGTGGGGCAGGCAGGGCAGCCATTACCAGACTGGGAGAGTGGGTGGGGGATGGGTGTTGCCTGGCTGAATCGGAGACTCAGAGATTCGGCAGCAGCTGAATCTCCGAATCTGATTTGGCCAAATTGAATCGGACAGTGATTCGAATCACTGTCCCCCAAATCAGCTGAATCCGAAGTGAATACTAGCCACTTCGCACAGGTCTAATGCTGGGGCCCCACTGTTTACAGTGCATTCATGGCATTTGGAAATCACTCAGAATTCAGTCAGGAATGGCATGCAAAGGGTTTAGGATGCTACTGTTATGTACATCATAAATATTAAAATATCTACAAGGTTTCTTTACATGATTCTGGCTTGAGTGGATACACTCACTATTTTGAGGCTAAAGCCTGTTTCACTTTGTGTGCTTAATGTTACATATGCAGCTCTGTAACTGCAGTTTCTGTCTCTTACACAGTATGAGATCCCATCTCACCTGATGGAAAAACAAACTGCCTGACACACAGGATGGAGAAAGAGAAGGCACATCTCCTGCTCTCCTGTTGAAGCTGGCCCACTTTATTTAGCATTTTGAATTCATTGGATAAAATAGAACAGTACTGGAAAAGTTACCATCTAAAAGGGAGAAGGTACCTAGGCTAAAACTGAGGGCCACACTCCCACCTGGGGTAGCAGCCATTTCACTTAGCCACACATCTTGTCATTTGTTATTTTGTTGCTGTTTCGTGGGTACTTCAAAAGGGGTATTGAGCTAAAATGCAGGAGGGTCCTCCCCTGCCTCCTTTCCCAGGCTCCCTTCACAGTTTTTATGCAGCAAACATTTTGGGACTTCCCTGCCTGCTGCTGTATAGCTACCCCATTGCAATCCAGGCCTACTGGGCATGTTTAGTGGACACATGCAGGTTTGCTCACAGAGCTGCACTAGAAACTATATATAAGAGCCCAAAAGTGCTGTTACTCAGCTATGCCCTTGCCATTTAAATGCACAAAGGGAAATAGTATCTATCCCTTTGTTTTTAAACTGGTGTCATGTAACTAAGTCCAAATACACGTGGCTTAGTTCTTCGGTACAGACAAGACCATTCTTAGTCAAATTCGAACTTGGATTATTGCATTCTACATGCCTCCATTCCCTTCAGAATTTCATTTAAGTTAATTTTTAGTTTGCTATCTAATGAACCTGAGCCAAATCTCTAGATTCAATACTGCTCAACACTGGAATTTTGGAACTGGATCTCAATTAGGAGACTAAATAAGAGTCTAAATAAAATGAAAGCATAGTGTTATGATACAGAATATGGCAAATGACACTCCAGTAGGTAGAGAGATCCAGAGAATACCTATATATTTTTAGTACACTTTAAAAGCTAAAATATCATTTTAATTTAAAACTGAATTTATCTGTAATTTATTAAGTGAAGCATATATAAAAATAATTTGCATCGTTTTTGAAGGGCATAACATATAATCCTACCAGATGCTACACACCTTATGTAAAATGCTAAGGAACCTTTGAATCTTTAAATGTTCAGTTCTCACATGTCAGTTGGGGTGCAGTTTGATAAGTTTGGGAATAGTAGCCTGATCCTCTCAGGCTGGAGCGTGTAGGTGGGTGACTTCAATCAGAAGCTGTAGTACAAAGCTCGATGTGTTCTCCTTCTGTTCCCTCTTGACACTATCACTGCATGTGACATGCATTGTGGATGCTCCCTTCTCCTCTTCCTCCGCCTGCTCTTTGTGCAAAGGGGAGGTGTGGCACACACTGTGGTTGAGCAGTGGTTCTAGAAACTGTCTTACCCACCACGTCTGCTTTAGGAAAAAAGGTGATTCCTTCCTATGTGGAGTGAAGAGGAAGTTGCTGCTGTCTGCTCCTTAGACAAGGTAATGATTTGGAGTTCCATGTATCATCCCCACATTTTCCATCCTTGAACTACAACACTGGATTTCCTCTGATGCCAGTGATCAGGCTGTCTGCCAGTTTAGGAATCCGGAATGAACTTTCGTATGACAAAATTGGCAAACTCCTTTTTATGATTTTTTCATTTTCCACTTGGCATCCAGCAGGTCTGGCTGACAGGTTTAAGTTACCATTCTTACAAGTTTGCAAGGCCATGTGTTAGATATGGTCTGAATTTTGTTCTTATAACCAAACAGAGGCTGCTAGTAATTGTTTTTGAACAAGTTTCTGGATAGTTAGGAATTGTGCCTCCATGTCCCCTGCAGCTTATGGCTTCCTTTAGGGCTATGGACAGACATTCAGAAATCCTGAGCCTGAATTGATTCAATCTTTGCAGGTTAGTGTAACCTGACTAGGCTAAACTGGTTTGTGAAACATCCCCTCTGGGCTGAAAAAATTCAGGCATATGCCTGCAGTGGCTTAGGCTAGAAGCCAAGGGGAGGCGGTGTGCGGGGGGAGGGAGCACTACAGCAGCTCTGTCTTCCCTTCCACAGGGAAGCTGAGCTGAGGGGAAGTGTGGCCAGGCCCTGGCAGGCTGCTCTGATGTGTCCCATACTCTGCCCCCCTCCCCCCCAGCAGGGAATGTTTATCACCCCTAACTCTGTGATTATCAACCCATTAAGAAAACAAAGCCTCTCTCCATTAGTTCAAGCTCTTTTTCAGTGTTAATCAGTAGTATTACTTATTTGACTAAGGATCAATAACTTAAAGGTTGGCAGGTGTGGCTTTTTATTTGGAAAAATGAGAACAGCAAAGCTTAAAATGTATACTAACATTGTATACTGTCTCTTAAATAAACCTGGATATAAAAATATTAACTAGATCAGTACAAATATTTACTTACATTTTGTTGTTACTGTGCTAGGAAGCCAACTCCCTTCAAAGTCTTTATTCACAGCAGTGATCTGAATTGTAGTAAATGTAAACAACAGTCTAATTTAAGTGCACTGCATTACAATGATTACAGAAATTAAAACAAACCAAAACAGACCCATACCACCATGGTTAGGGGGTATAAAACTGATTCTAGCAGCTGAGAATGTGTGCCCTGATCATTTTTTTTCAGCTCCTAGATTTTTTTTCTGCTACTTAATTTAAAGTAGCATATCAATATATAAGAATCTGCAATATATCTAGAATAAAGCAGTTATAGATAAGTAATTTTCCCAAGACATATTTTAATGTGAAAAGTAGTATATAAAACAATTCTGAATGACATTAGTATGTCACTAAAAGCATTATCTGGTAAATAGAAATCTATTCAAAATGGCATTAAAATATTAAAAGCAAAAATTTTAAAAGAATTACACCTTTCTACAATAAAATTAATGTTCATATATATGTATATACACAAGGGCAGATGTAGAGGGGGTGCCATGGAAGGATGAAAATAGAAAGGATGCAAATGGAAGGATAAAGGACAGACAGAACCACAAGAAGACATTTAGAGAGAAGAAAACTGTCTTGAGGACTATGAAGAGGGTGTGGTTTTACTAGGAATGTGAAATTTTGTCTGCACGCGAGGGCTACCCAGGATGAAAAAACTTTTGTTCAAGAGTCTGGGAAAATTAGTGCCTGATTCTGTAGCCTTGGATCCCTGATTCACCTTAATCAACTTCTGAATGTACCAAATAATCAAAACAACTGTTGCAAACAAGTGTACACAATATGGGGAACAATCAGTTTACAGCTTACAGGTAGTCATTTACTAAATATTATCTGAATATCATACCCATTCTAGCTCAACACATGCACCCTTTTGGTTATGTCTATTTTTATTTTTTGTTTTTGTAGGATTGATCCTGGGAGTTTCACCTAACTAGCCTCATGCACATGAGGCATCTCTCACTGTTTATATTTACCATGCAACAGCTGCATGGTAAAAAGAGAGAGAGCTACCTGGGTACTGTTTGGCTACCCCCAAGTTCAACAGCTTCTCCTCCTCCTCCTCTGTACTGCTGCAAGAAGCAGGTAGTGCAAGGAAGCAAAGTCAGCTGTGGGGATGTGCCCAGGGCACCACATGCCCAACCAGGTGGGTGAGAAACTGCAGGCATGTGACTCCTGCTCCAGCAGGCTAGGTCCCAACTCTAGCT